AAAAAGAACATAATTGATCTGCAAAATTTTATATGCTAAATAGTTTAGAGACCTATCCTTAATTGTGAGAATGTCAAAAATTAGAATTACTTGAACAGTATAATTGTATACCGATAGATAGTATTGATAAAAGCATACATATAATTCCAAGATTTGATAAAACAAATAAATATTTAGTAAATAATTATATATTTTAATTTTAATCTACAAAATCAAATAAAATTAATTACTATTGAAATTAATTATATTGTTTTTTAACAATACATAACCTTTTTTGTTAAAAATCAAAATCTATTTACCAAATAAAATACGATTTATATCAATATTGATATTAATTGATTATAAAAAAAATTTTTTTTTTGATATTAATTGATAGTCAACCAATAATTGCTAGTAATCGATTAATTATAATCGATTACTAGCAATTATTGGTTAACTATTGATAAATAACTTTCTAAAAAATTTCTTGATGTTAAGCAATAGACTCATTGAATTTTTATATTAACAATATGATAAAATAATAAAAATTCTTTAGATAATTAGATATTATTCAAAATATAATATAGATTTTAAACTTTATTTTTCTATATTCTTAAATAGTATTAAGAAACTTAAATGAGTGGACTATTTTTATAAGTCTAGTATTAAACTTTTTTTAACAAAGAAAGATATATGTATATTGTATTATAGTTTATAAATTTTATAATTACAAATCTAAAAGTATAAATAAAAATAATATGTAAAAACTATCTATTCTTTCAAAAATAAATAAATTTATATTTTAAAAATTTTTGATTTATTTTATTTATTTATTTATAAGAAATATTATTTTTATAATATATAATATAGTATTAAAAAAATTAAAAATTTTTAAATCTATATTTTTATTAATAAATTAATATAAAATTATTTAAATTTTATAAAATTTTATAATTATGTTTTTAAAATAAAAATAATAATAAAGTATTATACTATTGTAATTTTTTAAAAATTATTACTGTATTATTAATTTTATTAAATTACATAATTAATAAATAATTTTATATAAAGATATTTATAATATTTAAAAATAAAAAAAAATTATTTACAAAAAAAAACACTTTTCTATTCTCCTTAAAATTTCGAAAAACTTTTCTTTTTAGAAAACTTTAATGAGACAAGAGAGGTTCTTTGTTAAGTTATCTTTTTCTTTAAAAGAAACTTTTTTTCTTCCTTTATTATTATCAAGAATTAAAAAAAATAAAAAAAATATACGTACTGTATATGTGACTTGATATTAAAAAACATGTGACCGATATTGAAAATAGCATGACGTCATTCGTGGTATATCGACGAAAGATGAAAATAATGTATCCACCAATTATTCAACTTCTTGTTGCTTTAACACAACCAGTCACATTTGCTTCGTCAATTTATTTGGACACGGTTTATTCTTCTAAAACAAAGCAACTCCAACGAGTTCATAATTTTTGACAGGCATCTTTTTGAGTCAAAACATCGTTTGTAAGGTAGTTTCATTCAACTACATACGAGTAAATTAATTGAAATATTTTTATAACATTTGTTTGATAATTGTCATGACAGATTATAATTTATGACAAGGTGACGAGTTGTTTATAACGGGTTGTAAACTTTATGTTAATGTTTGATTATTAAACATTACAACTATCAGGAGTTAGCAAAATTTTCTTAATTACGTTTTGCACAGTATGTTCATTAATAACCAAAATAAAAAGAAACAGGTATTTATTTATATTTTTATTATTTAGTCCAGAACTCAATTTTGTGATTTTATTGAAATTTTCTGTTTATCAGGTTGTAATACGTAAAGTAACATTTCCTCGGACTCAACGTGACGAAAATGTAGTTGCTCCTAAGCAAAATGTTAATCGCGAGACAGCATCTAATATATCCAATGCCTTACCATCGAAAAAGATTACTACTAATGTATATACGCAACATAAAAGAGCTGCATTGAACGATGTTAGCAATATCAGCAATATCCCTGTTATAAACTCTAAGCATACAACCACCAACCAATTGGATGTCGTTGCTATAAAGCAAACCTCAAAAGAGTTGGCCCATAATCAACCATTAAAACAATATACTGGCGTCGTAGCAAAAAAACGCACCGTACTCACAGAACGTGTTAACATACCGGTTCCCGATGCGAACAAATTGCAGCAACCTTTAATTGTCAATGCTGAAGTTGATAAAAATCGCGCAAAGAAACCTAAAACACAAGAATGGGACGACCTTGATGCCGATGATTTGAGCGACCCCATGATGGTATCTGAGTATGCAGTGGACATTTTCGATTATCTTAAAGAATTAGAGGTGAGAATTTGGCCACTGAACGTGATATATTATTTTATATACAATTTCATTTGATATTTACGTCTATATACTGGATATTCAAGGCCGAAACAATGGCCAATCCTCGTTATATGGAAGTACAAACGGAGTTAAGTTGGAAAATGCGAGGCATTCTTGTTGATTGGTTGATTGAAGTACATAGCAAGTTCCGTCTGCTCCCAGAAACCTTGTTTTTGGCCGTCAACATTATAGATCGGTTTCTTTCTGTCCGTGTTGTCTCTCTTATTAAACTTCAATTGGTGGGAATCACTGGATTATTTATTGCATCGAAGTACGAAGAAGTTATGGCTCCATCAATCAAAAATTTTATTTACATGGCAGACAACGGGTATACAGAGGAAGAAATCCTTAAAGCCGAACGATATGTTCTTCAAACCATTGACTTTAAACTGTGTTATCCAAATCCCATGAATTTTCTCCGACGAACTTCTAAAGCTGACAATTTCGACGTTCAATCTCGCACTGTTGCCAAGTACCTTATGGAGATATCACTTGTCGATCAACGTTTCCTATCTATGACCCCCTCTATGATCGCAGCCGCAGCTTTATATTTGGCTAGGAAAATGCTTAATCGTAGCGAATGGGTGAGTTGTTTTGAATTATTGATCTTATTACGCATAACATTAAAATTAATACACCTTGTTAATTTGTTAGAATATTAATTTAATCCATTATTCAACATTCACCGAAGAGGAGCTTCAACCGTGTGTAAGATTGATGCTTGATTACTTGGTAAAACCTAGTAAGCACGAACAGTTATTCAAAAAATATTCTATCAAAAAATTTATGAGAGCGAGTATTTACGTGAGAGACTGGGTAGCATGTCATGTAATCGGTTAATTATCTCTAACGATTACAAAATTTTTACTTTTCTCAATATAAAGGTTTTTTGATTTTGCAAAATGTAATAAATTCCAGTAAATCATTTTTTATTATAATGTTTATTATATTGGAAACTATCTTCATTTCGGAAAAATTCGGCATAATTCCTCAAGCAACGGACCTGTACCTTTCTAGTTTAGAACAATAATTCTTTGGAATTAAGAGAAACCTGTTGGCATAAAAAATTTTTGGGTGGATTTTTTTTAAATTAGATTATTTTTTAATTTGTTTTGATTTTATTGGTATTTTTTATAGTATTAATAAAATATTTAAATATAAAATTATTCTCATAATTTTTATCGTAAATAAAGACATTTAAGAAGTGCGGACTATGTAATAATGATCTAGGGATGTTAAAAAGTTCCTGGTTTGACTATTCATATGATAATTTATGTACAATATAAGAACAAGTTACACGGATTACATGATAATGTAATTTTATTAGACCATTTATTCTAAAATTAAAATTCCTGTTTCAAGAAGGCGATTTTTTATGAGGTCAACAATATTATTTGCTATAGAAAAGGAACATTCACAAGAAGCTTTTGTAGCTTGTAAAGCAGAGTGATCTAATGTTATAAAAGCTATAGTTAGAAAATAGAAAACATTGTTTTTTCCTACAATAGAAGATTAAATCTGATCAAGACAAAAAAAAATAGTCAATCAAATTATTTCTTGTTTTAAATTTCTTATTTTATCTAATTGCATTAATTTTTAATAAATTTTTAATAAATTTTATTTAGAAATTATAATTTTTTTAAATATTTTATTATTAAATATTTAAAAAAAGCAAATAAAAAAATTTTTTTTATAAATTCTATTTTATAAAATTCTATTTTTTAATATTTTATTTTAATAATATAATTAATTTTTTTTTAAATACAAGTTTGTTTTTTTAAAAAATCAAAGCAACTATTAATCAAACTTTTTATTTACAAAAAATTACTAATACAATAATTTTATAAAAATAATTAATTAATATATATCTTTCTTTATTAGAAAAAATTTTAAAAAATTAGTTTATCTGTTTTAATTTTTATTAATTATTCAAACAATAAAATTGAAAATTGAAAATTTTTTATATTTAATTTTAAATAGTATTTAATAAAAATTAAAAAAATTGTATAATATTTAAATATATAAAAATACTATAGTCAAATATATAGATTTGTCTTTAGTTATAATTGAAATAATATATTTATTTTTTAATGTTAACTTAATATATAACAAGTAAAATTAGTAAAATATAAAAATAAATAAATTTTGACCTATGGGTCTATAGTACAGTGGTAGTGCTCCATAGGTTACCAGAAGAAGGTCTAGGGTTCAACCCCACCTGGTTACAAAAAATTTATCACCTTCATGATTGGTTGACCGGCTTCCAATTCA